CTCTCTCTCTCTCTCTCTCTCTCTCTCTCTCTCTCTCTCTCTCTCTCTCTCACCCTTTCCAAGATCTCCCTTTTTAAATCAAGAAACTGTCAGCGATTCCTGGTTATTAGTTTGTGATCAACTCAAATAGCTTGACACTCGCTCGACTTGTTGAATCTACATGATTCTTTCTGACGTTGCTACCCGACAGGAAGGAACTAGCTGGTTGGACAGCCAGTAAGAAGGCTCCTTAAAAAGTTTAAGAACAAATTATATATACATGTACATTCAAAATTGTCTTAGACAGCCATCTGTTGTCATGGAGACGGTTGGCTGTATTAGACAATGGCCGTCTTACACGGTGCCATGATAATGTAAACGATGCAAGAGAGGAAAAGGGAAGCATCAGCTGTTTATACGGGTGATTGCATGATACAGATGGCTGGGAGGTTCGACTATTCAAATGACCTTAGAACAGAGTAACATTGAGCTACAGTCAGAATACTGAGTACGTATCTAGTTTAAGATTATCATCTAGTATCTATTTGTGGTGGCCGAATTTTGCTATTCAAAAGGCTTTTTAATGGCTGCATCGATCGACATGCGGTTTTCGCCAAAAAATTATTTATAATATTCTCCAGATCATGGCGCCCTTGTTTTTTTTCAGTTTTGAGACAGTTTTGCTGCTAAAAGCTAAATTTCTTTATTTCGCCGATCGCTTTTGTAGGCCGACGCTTCTGTCTCTGTAATTTTAGAAAATCCGGAAGTGATATTTCGCGAGGCGCATTTTGTTTTGAGAGTACAGATCTACACCTTCTAAATTTTTGCATCTCTCAAGATTTATTTCCCCATTCCAGTTGAGTGTAGTAAGGCCAATGACTTTCAGTTGATGATAATGCACTGGTCATCCCTTTCATCGAAAGAGGGCCCAGCTAGTTGTTTGTATTACTGTTATTTTATATTATGCATGTGACTGCAATCCTGCCTGTGTGCATGTTTGTTTGTGTGCTTGTGTATGTGTTTGTATGTGTGTGTATGTACGTGTGTGTATGTGCGTGTGCGCGCGCGCTGTGTGTGTGTGTGTGTGTGTGTGTGTGTGTGTGCGTGGTGAAACACCAAACCAATGTGCCAGGACCTGGACAATAAAGACGTACCTTATCTTATCTTAATAGTCTAAAACGGCCGCCCATTGCCGAGGAGAAAAGCAATCCTCTTAATCTTAGACAGGCTGTTGTCTTACCGATTGTCATTGAGCCTACACTGTTTTAAAACAATCCTATGGGGTGAAATGGAATGTGCCGCTTGAACAGGTGATTGTCTTGTACAGGTGGCCACTAGAAGAGTAGATTCGACAGTAGATCAGATAAGGCTCAGATAAGAGCCGAAGACTAGGACGTTACTACATTGTACTAGAGAGTAACACATAAAGAAAAGAAGGACGGATGAGACCAAAAGGACCAAATCATATATATATATTTTATATATATCAGAGCACCCATCAACCACCCACGAATAAAATCTCCACCGATGACACCTTATAGCGCAGCCCGCATGGTTCCAGGGAAATAACAACATATTAACCCGTTCGACGCCAGGTCCGACATTTCGTATCGGTGGGAGCGTAAAGCAGGTCTGTCAGTGAAAGGGTTAACTCCCTGACCATCCAGACGTCACAACTTGAGTACACATTGTTAACACTTTAAGCACACACACTGAGCCACACATATCATCAGAATCATTCACGCTCCAAGATTATTACTATTTGAAATCCTTGTTATCAAATAAACATTTGACATCATGTACATGACACTATATTATCTTTATTAGTAAAGAGTTTTACGGCACCTGCAATACAATAGGGCCATGCAAGTGCCGAGAATTAGAGGTGTTACAAGAGAGTAACAAACTCAATTTTTTTTTTAAGGGAGGAGAGATGAGGACGATAGATGCTTGATAGGA